TTAGGGAGCATGCACATAAAGCGAACGTTTCTAATTTTTGATTTTCTACCGCTCACTACTCAACTATTCTTACAGTTTCAAAACATTTCTTTATATGAGCAGATGCAGAATTTTGTTTTCGTTCCCGTGATATAAAAATAATTATTTTATGATGAAAAATGACAGAAATATCAGAATTACAATGGAGATCTTCAAGATGTCCGTTCACTTTAGGGATATCGACTCTATATAGAAACAGCCGAAATTTCTGAATTTATTATTTTTTTGTACAATAAAGCCTTGTTTCAATTTGTACGTTTCTATAATCTTAATAATATTTATCTATTAATCATATAAGTTTTGTACAATTTTTGGTGTTTGTTGAAAATTTCATAACACATGATTCGGAAAAGATAAGCTTATATCCATCATTACAAATAGATTTGCATTACTTTTGAAACTTGTTTGAACTGAAATTAATAAAAGATGCAATGCTTTTGTGATACATAGATAAGTGCTCTTAAAATTCTAGAAACTCGTTAGTTGAAAAATAGTTGAGAATAGAAAAAAACATGAATTTGCAAAGTTCTGTTATTTTTATACATCTAAATTGTAAACATCTTAAAATTTCAATCACTCGGGTCAGGCTCTCTGTCAGTAACTCCTGTTTTAGATTTGTTAGTTTTGCATTAAAAGCGATAATTTAGTCTGAACATGGTTAACATTATTAACTGATATGAGAAACAGGCTCATTGTAAGTTTGACGAATTTTCAGTGTCTTGCTATCAGAACGAAATTACATCTATTGATCTGGACACGATATTAACAAGATGTTTTCGTTCGTATACTCACAATAACCGCTAAAAGTAGGTTATCAGGGAAGAAAAACATCGAGAAAGTGTACAATGAACGACATAATTAGTTTAAACATCAATCTATCAACTGATGCAGACATAGAAATTAACTTGATAGCGTGATGTGTCCAGATAGAAAAATACAAAGTAACTACTGATTATATAATGGATACATGTGAACGTAGTTTTTTTGAAAAACTTAGCATCGACGATTGATATCATCGTTTAAGAGTCTCTCCTCCTTTCTTGGCTTATAATTCTTATTTTTTTCGTGTTTTGTTTTTTTGTGATCATTGTATAGCTCCAAGTAGTTTCTATCTACTAAACGCATTTTAGGACTCGAAATTTGTCTTGAGACGTGTAAAACTTCACGAAGAAATCAGATTTACATAAAAAAATAGAAAAACTGTATTATTTTACACTATTCTCAAAAAACTTTATTCGTGAAAAAAGCACAGGAACACTTCCATTTTTCCTTCGTAGTAAATGCGAGTGAATTGAAAAGTTTTTCATAGATACTAGGCATTATTTGAAAGAGATATTCTGTTTTAGTTTCAGAAAATATTGTTCTGATGATTTTTAGTAACTCTAACGAAACTGAAAATAAACAGCCATTCCAAACAGTATATAGTACTGCCGGAAAGTTTTAAACTAGAACAAAGATAGCATATGGGAGAAATCAGGACCAACACTAGTGTCATTTTTTGATATTGTAATTTCAATATCTTATTGAAAACAACGTCTAGTAACTTTGGTTCTATGATAAAAACCTTGGAAAGAAGAAATGATGCTTAAATTACTTTTGGTGGTAGAGTAACTGATTATTATTAAAAGGTAATCACAATACAAAAAAGCGTTAAAATATATCAAAGATGAGATTGAGCAACAGAAATTTGACTCTAAAAATCTTTCTTCGTGAATCATATTTTATTTGACAATAAATTCATGACAGTTTAAAACAAGATATTCGATAGAATACTCTTACATGATTCTTGTTGAGGATGACCTGATTCATATGAAAAATTTTCAATCTATGTCTGATCATTGATCTTCTGTTGTCACTAAGTATAACAAATTTACTTTTAATAAACTATTGTTCTTAGAGAATATTATCTTTAAAATAATTCTGAATACAATTGAATTCACTAAGGATACCATGAATTGAAGATGAAGAAACTATGATAATTGATATAGGTTAACATCCGGCTAATTATTATTGCTAAAATATGTAGCTATTGCACTTAGTAAAACCATTTTTTATAAACAATATGCATGTATCTTATGTAAAACATGCCTTTATTCATGTTAAGAAGGTTGATTTTATTTGAAATTTTGAATAACTAAGTTGTTTCTTGGTTGAACGATGAAAAAATCTCAAAAAAACGTTTTTTCAAATTTTATATTAATCATAAAAATAACTGATCCTATTTAAAAGAAACATATGAGTTGCTCATTTTACTTTCTCTGAGAACTTTATTGATTAGTCTTTGTTTAACAAACATTAACAAGACTTTGAAGTAGTACAGAGTCAATTAATTTTTATTAGTTAATGCAAACTATGTGACATATCAGTCTCTTATTGTTTGATATATAGAAACTTTCAATCTTTTTCATTTTTCCAGTTCGTTTTCTTCTCATTCTTATCCTTAGCTTGATCTTTTTAATTTTAGTTATTTATACTTTATGTTACTGTCTTTTTTTAGAAGATTCGTTCAATCTTAAATTTGTAAACTCGACTCAAGTCTCAACTATAAACTAGATAAAACATTTTAATTGGTTTCTATAGATTCAGAAATTTGATTAACATATATTTTTTACCTAATTTACAGAAATCTGTCCATGACAACGGTAAGCATACTGCTTGTGGTGAACAACATGAGTTTACCACACATACAGAAGTATTTGATGCACAACTATAATTAATATTGTTACATGGTTTCAATATAAAACATAAAATACCAGGTGCACAGTAACTAGTATTGGTGAGAGTACGATAATCGAAGCAAGGTGTTAATGACGAAAGACAATTACTAGCATTTAAGCTTATATTACATGTTTGTAAAGAACAATTTAATGTTGGTTCCCATGCAGAGTGAGATAATGAAGTCAATGTAAATTGGACCATGGCATTGCTTTCATTACAAAAGTAATTAGTTACTGATGTAGTTTGACCTAAATATTATTCTTCAATTGAAAGAATTAAATAAAAAGAAAAAAATTAGCAAACCTTGTACATAAGAAAAGAAGAGACTGAATAATAAAGCTACTGCAAATCGCATTGTGTCTGTGCACTCAATGAGCGAAAGAAATATTCAAAATGCATTGCCTTTTTTCCTGTTCTCTAACCAAACACTTACTAAATATGTCTTTCAAGTTAAAAATAATAAAAATCTTTCTTTCGTTCCCTTAAAAGCAAAAATTTCAGACATTGAAATAACATTAACAATACTTTTCTATGCATTAGATTCGCTATAAAACAAATTTATTCTAGTCACCATTCTTTTTGTATTTTAATCGAATGAGTGGTATTTATTTGCTTCCTTCTACTAACTAAAATCATGGCATTTCTTCTATTAAAATATGCTCTTTCATCAGTATATAGGTAGTCATTTGTTGACAATAACAAAAAGAAATATTATTTGCAGTAGATTTTTTTCGTAGCTGTTTTTAGAACTTCTTTAATTTATAAAGGCACTTTGGTAATTTCAAAAAATATCTTGAGTGGGTGGGGTGTGGGTGTGGGTTTGGATGTGGGGGTGTGACTGTGGGTGTGGGTGTGTGGGTGTCAGGGCTGCCATATCCTAATTTTCAAATGGGGTACAAGAGATATGAAATGGGGTACAATTGAGGTACAATTTTTTCTACAATGGGGTACGTCGGTGAGGTACATCTTTTTCTTTTCAAGAGAGCAGGTTAGCCGAGAAAAACTGTTAAAAGGAACCTCCTTTCTAACAGACGACATTATTTTGAAATTTTTAATATTACAAATCAATTTTATTATTGACTTTTCACAAAGAATATTTTTATAGTTAACTTATACCATCAAAAACAATGCTATCATAGAAAATAATACAAAATCTTTCATTACGTCATGCTAAATAATCAATTCAATCAGGACAAGTTTGTTTGGGATAGTTAGAGTTTTCTACGCTACAAATACGTTTAAATAAACTTATTGTGTAAATAACATTATAATATGTTGGTCAAATACGATATAGAAAATAGAAAATAACGAAATGAATCACAATATCTAGAGCTAGGTGTACGACAATTCCACATCAACTAAATGAACTGGTATCAATAATCCAGCTCCCGTTATATACGAGATAGGAGAGTGATCAGTGTTTTTGAACCGAACTGGGTTTATTTCATAACTCAATTTATTCTAGAAGGTAGGTTTTCACAGGTCTTTTTCAGATTACATAAGTTAAACTGCACAAATTGAGCCGGATGGTAGTTGAAGAGATCCATAAAGCGATAAAATAAGTTGTTTAAAAATCTAATTTATGGGAATTATCTAACCAATTGATGAAGAAAGAACTGATCAGTGCACAAAATTCATACAAAAAGAAGCGGTCAACACATTGAATTCGTGAATGTGTTATGCAGCAGTTTTCATGATTCAGTTCTTTCGACTCATACAGCTCAGATTTGTCAGATATCCGTAGCTAACTTTATTTTGATCCGGAAACCGAGAAACCTAAGATAAAACTAATAGGATGCAATGTATGCCAATAATCATTAATCGATTCTTCATGTTAATATCGTCCATTGCAAATAACTCGATAAAAATAATAATAAATTCTTTCGAAAAACATGATTCACTTTGACCAGAGGTCAGTTCATGAAAGCAGAAGCTCGAAAATCCAAATGGGGTACAAAATACGTACCTCAGGGGTACAAATTTTTTGGGGGTACAAAATGCCCAAATGGGGTACATATGGCAGCCCTGGTGGGTGTGGATGTGGGTGTGGGCATGAGTGTGGGTGTGTGGGTGTGGGTGTGGGTGCGGGTGTGGGTGTGGGTGTGGGTGTGGGTGTGGGTGTGGGTGTGGGTGTGGGTGTGGGTGGGGGGGTGTGTGGGAGGGGGGGGCGCGGCGCGCCGGGGCCGCGG